CTACCAACCAGCAACAACAGAATAGAAGAAAAAAACTGAACGAAACACCTCAAATTGAAGATGATAAGTTAGTGTTGTTTTTGTGTTGTTTTTGTTGTTGAAATAGATTTAAAAAAAGAACTGTACTCAAAAATATCAAATATTTAGAGACCTTTCCACAGCTAACAACTTCATTCCTTCAATTACGATCTTATTTTGTATTCTCCTCTAAAGAAAAAAAGTACTTAGATTTTCTTTTTGCCTCATACTTTAACTATTGAAAAAATAGCCCATCAAAACGCATCTTCAGCCTCTATCCTCATTTCCTCATCAGGCGAACCAAGTAGTCCTGTAAGTGCTGTGAAATATAAGGTAAAATTGAAAATTTGGCTGACTCATACAGAAGAAGTGATTTTTTAACCGCTTCACAGTATTGCCGTTTAAGTTCTTTATAAGTTTATCTCTATATTTCAATGTTATACCGTATGAAACAAGCTAAATACTGTTTGTTGACCAAACAGCACTAAGATTACATCCGCGTCAGCGTCACCATTTCTCAGCATTTCCTTTTCAGTCAACTATTTACGGAAAAAAAAAAAGACAGCAATTTCTCCTCGATAGCAGCGGCAGTAACAACACCGTTTTTCCCTATTCTGTTTCGCTTCGTTAAACATTGTTTTTTTTCCGGAAACCATTTGCTATCATTATCTTTTCAACAGTTCATCGGTTCATCTACAAATGCCAAAAATAGCAAAAAAAGAGACAAACACGTTGGGTTTATTTTGTGCCAATTTATATACCATTCTAAAAGAGCTTACCTTTTTTTTTTTCCGTTCAACAGATCGTCTCTACCAGTTTACTATTTTTATCCATATATGTCTCTTTCATTTTTCCTCCCGTCATCCTCTCTTCTATCTCCCTTCTCCCATCTAAACTCTATTTAACTGCGTTTCCTCTCCCTGCTTTCAAACTCAGAACGAATAACAGTAAAACATCATATATCTAAGTTTAATTGAAAAGAACCAGAAATACCGACAAAAAAAACAAAATAATACTAGTGACAATACTAGTGACATTTTTGCATTGTAAAAAAAACCAATAATATAGCCTAAAATTCAGCAAAAATTACTGCTAACAGCAACAAAAAAGTGAAGGAATATGCCCTTGCCACAGTGAAAACAAAAAGACGATTAAAAAAAATGTCACTAGTATTTTAGGTAAGGATCACTTAGTCCTTAAAACATAACCAACTGTTTAACCTTTTGAAACTTCGGTTAGTATTGTTGACTGGAAAAAAGCACTTAAAACTAAACAAACCTAAAAACCACTAATCTTTTTTAATCAGAATAACACCAATAAAAATGGTAATAGTAACAGCGATGAAATAACGATAACAACTAAAATGTTCTTTTGCTTTTTCAGCCATCATCTCATCGTTTTCACTTTCCCATTTACACTCTTTCTTTTTCTTTTTTCTGAAACATTCGGGGTACTTGTAAGTTTACATAACTGCGTTGGGTACATATTGATTTGTGGTTTTCCCCAGAAAAAATAAAAGAAGTTGACGAAAAGTTCGCTACACAGTGGCATTATTGAGACTGTAAAAAATCTTCCATTACAACCATTCAAAAAAAAGGTATTTTCTTTTTTTTTCTCCTAATTATGTTTACCAATCTGCTTCAAATATTGATAAATACCAAATTAATTCTCTTTTTATTTTGCTTTCGACAAGAAAAATTTCCAAATTTTTGATGCATTTCAAATGTTTTTTTTACATACTTAAAGACAAACACAGAAAAGAAAGCTTAAAATCATTTAAGGGTCTATCACCAATTAGTTAGGCAGCAAAATTGCTCTCCTCCTGTCTCCTATCTTCCACATTCGTTTTATTTAAACCTCAAAAAAATTCAAAATTCCGTTTAGCCAATATATATATTGATGGTACAAAAATGTTGCTGAAAAACTTGTCTAATTTAAATGCACTGTTAAGTCATTTAATTTGGATCAATCAAAGTTAATTGGCAACAACTAACAGTAATATAAAACATCTAGAGCACATAAAGATGGCGACAAAAATTCAGCAGTTATACAGTTTATTCAATTAAAATTAAATTATCAAAAAAAAAAAAAATAACCATTTCCTTTGCTACCATTATCTATTTACATTTGTAACATCGTTGATACCGATCAATCTGACTAAATATACAGCTTTAAAATTCTTTCTTTCTCCTTCCTACCGAACGTTTTCATTTTTTGGTTCACCTCCCATTAAACTGTCATTGCAGACAGCAAATTACAGAGGTAACAGCAAAAATACTAAAAATATCTATCAGCAAATTGAGAAGAGTTCTATTCCACCTTTCCTTATCCCCAGCTTTCTCATTTGGTTTGTCGAACCAATGGTACGTTTAGGAACACTGATCAATCTACCTAAACAGCACTGAATTTAACCAAAACCAATATTTCAGAACTGAAGAACAAAGGGAAAAAACTTCATTGCAGAAGCATTGAACATTAATAGGATAAACAGTTCAAAGCTTTCTTATTATTGATCTATAAATGCGACAGAATAAAAACACCACAAAACAAAAAAAAAGATTAAATTAGAAAATAAAAGAGAAAAAATAACAGAAAACAGTAATTAAAAAATTTTCCTTTCTAATCCTTTTAGTATCTTCTACTTCCATCACTATTAAATCCCATAACTGCTATCCATTTGAGTTATAGTCCATAAAGATTCGCCGATTTTCAAGTTTCAGCTATTGAATTTCACCAATTTGGAAATCTATTTAAAAAACGGGTTGTCTATTACACATTCCTGATAAGCTCACTGCCAACTTTTCCTTCATTTTGCATCTTTTTATATTTTAATTTTAAATTCATTTTGAGACCTTTTTAATCGCAAAAACGCGATTTTTTGATGACTCTCCTTTGTTTGTGGAAGAAGCGAAATAATGCTGCTGCAGCCAATGAAGAAATCAATGTAGTTTTTGAGGAGACCCCCGTAATAGAAATCACTGTACTGCTGTGGTTTCCAAAGTTTTTGGACGGAGACGAAGTACTGGTCGTCTTCGACCTAGACCGTCTCGTCCTGGGGACCAGAAGTTAGGAGTACTCGTTGGGGCTGATTCAAATCACCAAAAATGATCGCTTTGTGGGAACCGAAAAAAGGAAAGCGGGAGAGGATTGTCATTTACCTCTATGCTAAGTAACAACGCAACATCTCTACGGGACCGAAGTAATGATTATGGTTTTATAAAACATTTTTTTTGCTAACCCATATAGCGCTTTTGAATAGTGGTGAGAGCTTTACAGCAGAGAAATGCCGTCCAAGTGCAGGATATGAACGGGAATTGAGAAGGACTGAGACCGAGGTTTCTAGAAAAAGAGGACGTATTGTACCGCACGATAGCTGCAGAAACGCATGTTTCAAAAAATGCTAAAAAATGGAAGCTCTAGGATATGAAACTTCGCTCAGCCTACCTTTGCTTTCCACAAATTTCTTCTACTAATTATCATTTTCTCCAAGAATTTAGCAAAACACTCATCTGTTGCAAAAATCCTTGTTTTTTAACGCAAGTAAGAAAAGTTCCCACAATAATCTTCTTATCTCAAGATTCACAGATTTTAAACTCTGTAGAATAACAAAGCTGACAATGCTTTGAGAACTTTATGTAATTTTTTTGGTTCTCATTTTAAATCGTAATTCTGGGTAAAAGTAAAGTTATATTCTATTTCAGCAAAAGAAAAAGCTGGGATATCTTTATAGACTAACCTAATATTAATTATCGAAACAATGTTTTTACAATTCGTCTGTTGCCGTCACTGGTATATATATATATATATATGCTTAAATATCCTCCTTCCATCCGTCCACTCCCCATCTATTCCCGTTCTCTTCCTTCTCTGATATGCATTGATTTTAGAGCAGCATCTGTCCCCCATTGTTTGTAAGTAAAGATGTGCTTATGAAGCAATAAATATGCAATAAGATGATATGAAGAAATTGGAGGATGAAATAAGAGGAAAAAGGCAAAAAAAAGCAAGCTATTTTTGTTCAAAAAAAAAAGTTTGCATCAGAGGGAGAAAAAGACTATTTAGAATTAAAGGAAATGAAAAAAGTTTCATCATTAAACGGTTACAGCAACTCACATAAAACGCTAAAGAACGAGTATTGATATCATTCCCAAACAGATAAATAAAAAGACTTAAATAGTGCAAAAAAACCGAGTGACACAAAAAAATTGTCACTTACTGCATTTGAAAAAAAATTGTCCCGTAGCTTCAAAAAATTTCTAGTAAAAGCCACTGTTTAACAAAAAAAATGCACTATCAACCAAATGAATTCAGTTTTTCACACTTTTTAATATTACTCCTAACGACAGCATCGAAGCAAATTAACCAAAGAAGAAAACCATTTTAAGAACAAAGATTTTTGTCATTAATTTTGTCTTCTTGTACCGACTTAAAAATGCTGTGGAGCAAGGCAGGACTTCTATAGTTGGTGGGTAAGGAAGCATGATACTCTCTGGTAAAACTCCAAAAAACAATTCTACTTTCGTCATTTCCCAAAAACGTCTATCCTCTCGTTTTACATTTGGCAAAGAATAATTGAAAAAAAAATTTATACTACAACTTTCCGTCGATACAAACATCGTGACGTATCCATCAAACATAAAACTATTACAAATTTTTTTTTCAAATTTCAAATTCTTATCAAACTAGGCAACCATACGCTAATTTATTTTGATTACAACAAACTGTCATTCATTTCCACGACAGTAGTTTAATAATTTCTTCTGTTTTAGCCAAATACATATGAAAGGTTTCAATTAGCTGACTAGAACAATAATATGTAGCAAACATCAGTGCCGGAATAACCAAAGGAGTATATACGTTGACCTTGAAACACATACATACATATGAATACAGATTATGTATAGACAGATAACGCAAACAGACACAAACAAAAACAGTAGCCAGATGAAAGATCGCCGAGAAGATGCTGGCTAATGGCTGCATTATTTATGCCCATGCAAATAACACATGCAAACGCTCATGGACAGCAACAATGCTGCCGTTCGACAAGGATGAAAACCACAAAGTTCCATGGTACTGCAGCACAACAACGACCGGGGCGGTTCATAATGCTCACTCAGCTGAGGAGGAAAAAAATAAAGCCAAAAATTTTGAAGCCTGCATGTATATTTTTTCCTTTTTTCCACAACCGCCAAATGCATGGATTTAATTGAGCTAAAAACGGCGAAATGCATAGCGGGGAATGCCTCACACTGACGTGCCCAAGCGGCAAAAGCAATACAAACACAACAAACCCAAGGATTCATGGACAAATCAATAAGCCGACGAGGGTTTGATCCATTGCCATCATCAACCGCCGCCACCACCATCATCACTACCTCTTCCCAGTCCTTGTTCCTCATGCCTTGGTTTTCATTCTGTCATAGTCGTTCTCTACGGCTCAATTCCTCTCTCATTGTCAACGTCCGCTTTTTCCTTTTCAGTCCTTTTCTTTCGTTCAGTTAGTAGACAAGTTTTCTGCGGTTTTACTAAACTAACAATGAAGATGGCACTGGTGATAGTGGTAAACATATCAAGTTTCGAATTTCCTTCAGTACGGATTGGACTCAGATGAATAACCATTAACAGAAAGAAAAAAAAAAAAATTAATGTTCTTTTATAACTAGCGGATAGGCATACAATTTCTGTTAAGCGGAACTTGCAATTCGAGGTTGTTTTATTTTTAGAATTTTTTAGAATCTTTTATTGGAGATGCTCGGGCAGACAAATGTATTTGAGAAATAACAGGAAAAAGGCTTCCCTTCAACTTTCTTCAGCAGATGTCTGTTTGCGCATTCTGAAAGTCACAGTCTTGATTTATTTCTAATGTAATAACCTATTAAGGAGGTTATTCCGGCTACTGCTTATATAGTAATTCTTTAACTTCATTTATTTACTTGCTTATTTTTTGTCCTTTGACGGGTGGAACTCTGTGACTTTTATAAACCAAAACTAGCTATTTAACAGTTTAAGTGTCATTAGGGCGAGAGAAATTGTTTTTTTTCTCAACTAGCCAACTTTTTTTTTAGTTTGAGGAATTTTTGTTGCAAAAGTTGTGGTCAACTGGTGATGATGATGATGACACTGGAAACTAAAAAATAAATATGCCGAAACATTATGCTATTCGCTTATAAAAAAATAATGCCGACTTTCAGACATAGTCTCTGGATAATTTCAAGTTTGGAGAGATAGGGGAGAGTGGGTGGAAAGGAAAAAAAGACACTTAAGTAAATTTTGAATTTCTTCATCTTCCTCTTTGTAGACAGATTTCGATTTTTTTTTGTAATGAAGAAAAAAACGTTTCAGGTGATCCAAGTCATCAATTAGGCGATCAGCCTTTTGGGAGTTAGCAGCAAAGCCAAATAACAGCAAAAAGCTTTCTCCATAAGACTCATGTCATTCAATACAAAGAGACAGAGACAAAAAGAAAAATTTTGTTTCCAGCGAAATTTCCAATTACTGCCCAGTTTGGTTCAGAGCACCACAGAATCATCAATGCGCCAAAACTCTAGCACTTTGGAAGCATTTCTCGTAAGAAAAAAAAGTAAAAGTTCATGATAACCTAAATGACGGGAAAGAAAGGGTTTCAAGGAGAAGAATGAAGATGCGATGGGGGGGGGGGGGGGGGGGGGGGGGGGGGAAAAAAAAA